ATTAAGGGAAATCTTCATTAGTTCGACATACTGCTACAAAACCGTTTTTGGTTCCAGTCATTGCTGGTGCTCCATCTGTTGTAATGCACACTAATTGATATTGGTAGCTTGTAGTTTTTTACAAAATTGAAGAAAACTTCATATATATCTTCGCCACAGGTCTTCCCCTTCAGAGGAATGATTGACAAAAATTCTTCCTTAGTCAACATGTCATTGAATACCATCCGAATAAAAATACGCAGCTGGGCAGTGTCTGTCATATCGGTGGATTCGTCGAACTGTAAAGAAAAGTATGTACATTCCATGATATCATGTTTTAGTTTATCTGCCATGTACTGACTCATGACTTCAATACACCTTGTGACATTCGGACGAGATAACTGAAGTTCTCTAATAGCAGACATGATTTCTGTTTTATTTTTAAAATCTCCAAATAAAGTCTCACCCGCTTCAATAAATGCTTTCTTCACAACATTTATCCATCTTCGAATGGTTTCTTGTGTTTTGCCAATATATGAGATATTTTTAAATGACGCGATCGTAGCAGCTTTTGATTGTATGGCTGGTCTACCATGGTTTGTTCTTTTTTCAAACAACATATCAAATCACGTGCTTTTCGTTTTCTTAATTAACTCTGTGGCGGAAAATCATTTTCATAGTTTTGCGTAATTTTTATGATGCCTCTCTAAGTGTCGCCGCACACGGGCCACACGCCACAGCCACAAACGCGGCCACAAGAAGCTAGAAGCGGCTACTAAAGTGGCTGAAGCGCGCGACAGCAGCCGACTAAGGTAAGGGTCAACTCACACCGAAAGAGCGGCGAAGGGCAGCGAAGCGCAGCGACCCGCTCGGTAGAGAAGGTGCGCTTATGGAATTCGTCGGAATTCCCGCGGCACCGCGGGAGTCGTTCGAGTTTCTCATGCGATAATAAGTATTATAGTAATGAAAATAAAGTTAAAATTCATATGACACTGAATCTGCGCTCCGCTTCGCTGCGCTTCGACGCTCTTTTGGTGTGAGTTGAGCCTAAGGGAGAGAGGGATGGGGAATCACGCGAGTGACGTGTAGCGGCGTTTTAACCGGCGCATTACGTGGCCGGTTCGAGCCACAAGAAGCGAGCAACGACGATTTGTAGCGTGTGGCGGCCACCGGTGTACCGTGTGTGATGAGTCTATATAAATGTATGAAAACTACAAGAAATATGCCGGTGGCAGTGTTTTGTGGTTGTGGTCGGTGGCCCGTGTGCGGCGACACTAAGTTACCACGCTTAGGTATTGCAACTGACGCACGACAAATAAGACAAATGCACTTCCTATCTATTCACCATACAAAAGAAAGATTCTTCCTCCCAATCGCTATTAAAATGATACGTGTTAGATTTCTTCACTGCACTCATTTTGTACTATTTAATAATAAACTTTGTATCGACTATACTAATGGGTATAGATGTTTGATCCGTGTTTCATAATTTTTTTTTGGTTGATTGACTAAAGAAAAATTAAATTTTCATTATTTCTTGATAATCTAACTGGTGGACACAATAGAATTTCGTTTACATTACCCCGACATCATCTGTATTGCCCTAAAACTACCTGCCTCTTTTAAAATCTACGTCCAACACGCACTTTTGTTAAACACGCACGTTTGTAAAATTATATGAACAAACCCATGTAACAAATTGGAACCGATATTTTTACTTGTACAACCACTTAAATCAGAATGGAGAAAAATGTCTCCACATTTTCCCCGAACATAAAATATATTTCTTCATAAGTGAAATGAGAAAAACATGTTAATGCGGATTACGAACGCTTTATGTATCGTTATTTCTTTATTTATTGTTGTTTCATATTTTGTGTTGAGATATTTTAACATTATATGAATTTCCTTTGAATCGTATAGGAAAAACTAGTGGGTACCTGCGACGCGAAGATACTTCTGAAGAAATCTTTATGTTTCAAAATCATCGCACGACAAGAACGCATCGTGTCATGAGGATGCCTTAAGTTCAGACTAGGTTAAGTTAGGTTAGTGTATTGCAGTTGTACTACTATTATCACTCTTATTGCAACGTAATAAATGCGCAGTCAATAAAATTTTAATCACCGTTATATATAGCGCCGACTGTACTTACTCAGCTTACTCGGTCATGAAGGATTTCGGCATCAAAAACATTAATCATTTATGCTTCATTGTTTTTATATTGAGAGATTTTTATTGAAGATGATAAATTAGGATATTGCTGATCAACATGACAGAGTGGATCGCTGTCTTACATTGCAGTAATAAATATTATTTGAGATGCAATCTTGCTATAAAATTATTCAATATAACACGGTATTTAAAATGACATACATATATTTATTTATTAAGTCATGCTGACAGTCACACATATTCATACATTCTTAATTAAATAGGATACTGTACAAGTTTTTAATATGCAGAAGCAATCACAAAACCTGATTTATTCTATGTGGTAAAAAGTCTAAATAGAAAAAAAACATCTAATAAATTTAAAAAATTAAAATTTCGTTATTTTTTATCACATACTGGCAGCACTCATTGAGCACTAAATTATGAACCGTTGATTATCATAGATCTTCGATCCAGAGTTATGTATTCAACCCTGTCACTTGCTCAGACTGTCATACTAGCAGCTTATATTGATACAAAATTTAAAAAATTAAAATTTCGTTATTTTTTATCACATACTGGCAGCACTCATTGAGCACTAAATTATTAACCGTTGATTATCATAGATCTTCGATCCAGAGTGATGTATTCAACCCTGTCACTTGCTCAGACTGTCATACTAGCAGTTTATATTGATAAAACATTTAAAAAATTAAAATTTCGTTATTTTTTATCACATACTGGCAGCACTCATTGAGCATTAAATTATTAACCGTTGATTATCATACATATTCGATCCGGAGTGATGTATTCAACCCTGTCACTTGCTCAGACTGTCATACTAGCAGTTTATATTGATAAAAAAATGAAAAAATTAAAATTACGTTATTTTTTATCACATACTGGCAGCACTCAATGAGCACTAAATTATTAACCGTTGACTATCATAAATCTTCGATTCAGAGCGATGTATTCAACCCAGTCACTTGCTCAGACTGTCATACTAGCAGTTTATATTGATAAAAAATTAAAAAAAAAATCCTAATTTTTTATCACATACTGGCAGCACTCATTGAGCACTAAATTATTAACCGTTGACTATCATAAATCTTCGATCCAGAGTGATGTATTCAACCCTGTCACTTGCTCAGACTCTCATACTAGCAGTTTATATTGATAATAAATTTAAAAAATTAAAATTTCGTTATTTTTTATCACATACTGGCAGCACTCATTGAGCACTAAATTCTTAACCGTTGATTATCATAGATCTTCGATCCAGAGTGTTGTATTCAACCCTGTCACTTGCTCAGACTGTCATACTAGCAGCTTATATTGATACAAAATTTAAAAAATTAAAATTTCGTTATTTTTTATCACATACTGGCAGCACTCATTGAGCACTAAATTATTAACCGTTGATTATCATAGATCTTCGATCCAGAGTGATGTATTCAACCCTGTCACTTGCTCAGACTGTCATACTAGCAGTTTATATTGATAAAACATTTAAAAAATTAAAATTTCGTTATTTTTTATCACATACTGGCAGCACTCATTGAGCACTAAATTATTAACCGTTGACTATCATAAATCTTCGATCCAGAGTGATGTATTCAACCTGGTCACTTGCTCAGACTGTCATACTAGCAGTTTATATTGATAAAAAATTTAAAAAAATAAAATTTCCTAATTTTTTATCACATACTGGCAGCACTCATTGAGCACTAAATTATGAACCGTTGATTATCATAGATCTTCGATCCAGAGTTATGTATTCAACCCAGTCACTTGCTCAGACTGTCATACTAGCAGTTTTTATTGATAAAAAATAAAATATTTTTGTTTTCCAAAATTTTCATCAGATACTGCCAGCACTCATTAAGCACTAAATTCCCTTTGCATTGCTTTAGTTCTATACCGCGTTAATATAGGCGTTTCAGGGAATACACTGCTAGCTTAATTAAAAGCTGGCAGTGTTCTAATTTTTCGCTAAACTATGAAAGCATTAAATTTCCGGTTTTGGCACTAAATTAGCACTAAATAAGCACTAATTGATGCACTTTATTTTAAACGATTCTGCTCACTTTGCCATGCTAGCTTAACAGACGTCAAAGCACCTTACTTTACACATGACTAAAAAAAAATTTTTTTTTGATGCAAGCTTCTTTGTTGTATTATTGATCGGTAAAGTAAGTAATACACAGTATATTGGTGTGCGTCATTTTAATTCACCTACTACCCTCATTTTTTTTCGATCTTGTTTGCAAACAATCTAGATTTTGCCAGAGACTGCAAAAAATGAGAATGTTATTCTAAAAATCTTAGTAACTTCTAACAATGTTAAAAAACGTCAGTCTTACCATATGCCAGTATGTCATGTAATAAAATTAAAATAAACTCCACACATTTATTATTATAAATCTATAGTGAACACACAGGAACATATTTTTTTAGGTTAAAAGGGTTGGAAACAAGCTGATGGCCACCATTGCCTACAAACTCTTCCGATACAACCCATAAATTGGTGCTTCTGATTAATGAATTCATTAAAATACTAGTACAACTCTTATATTCAACAATAATCATTCATTTACAGATCTAACGAAATTTTTTACTAGAAAAAGTTCCACCTTCCAGGCGTCAGACAGGATCTTGTCTGTCTCATGCCTGGACCGAGTGGCAATTGTTTCTATTCAAAATTTATTTAGATTTATTAATCTGGTAGTTAAATGCTTATAATAATAATATAAAAATCATTCAATTACTTTTATATTTTGTAGATTATAATACGCAATACGCAAGAGCAGCCATGCCATAGGCACAGATGCATAGAGGCTTTATTGATTTTTGTTGTCGCTGGTCTCCGCAAAACGGCGCGCGCAGCATGTGTCAAAATCGTGCTCTCCATTGAAGGGAAAATAATATTTATTTCGGTGATTTTATGTGACAATGTGAAACAAGATATTTATTAAGATAGTGCAGATAAAATACACTGATTGATAATGTATTAAGTGGACTAGAATTTTGTTGTGATTGAGAATTCATCATTTGTTCACAGTTTAGGTTTATTTTTCAATCGTAAATAAAGGAAAAAAGGTGCAGTGTTATCCGTTTGTGTTTACAGTTATTATATTTGTGTTGTGTAATTAATATGATAATGATTATGTCTGCCACGTACCTAACTAACACAATGCACAGATTTTTTGTTCCTTAGTTAATCTAAATACAGTTTTCAGTAGCTCTGTGCTACATTTGAAGTGAATAATGATTTAAATATAAACTTATTTAAATAAGTTTCAGTCAAGATTGTGATCCCATTCGAATACTTGTTTCTTATATATCAATTTATTCATATCGTAAACTGTGAAACCAATGCAATAATGAACAATGAACCGACGATATAAAACAATCAAGCAAATAATTCCCCACTTATCAAAATAAGTGTTTAAAATGTTGTTTAAAAATGACGAGATGTCTGCGGATATTCAGTGCGTATTCATTCAGACTGAGCAGGAAGCATTCGACTTTGCTCCTCCTGGCCTCCTTCATAGTGACTGTGACATTGATTCTCCAGCTTTATTCATACAAGCACCACGATCACCATCATACAAGGCCGCATTTCGGTGATTATGACTACAGACCCGGCGCCTTCCTCAAAGGCAGGCAGCCGAACGAAAATAACAGTTATTGCGACTTCCGATATGGTCTACCCGAAACTCTCAAGTGGGGAAGTTTTCGAGTCCACTCCACCCCTGAAGTCGGAGGCTTGAGCCCCTACAGTGTCATCTATAATGCTGTGGAAGGAAAAACTTTCGCGAATCACAGCAAATACGACGCTGTCACTTACGCTACGCAATCGACACCAGAATTCATATATCACGTGCTTGAAATTGCAAAGTACTGGGATGGTCCTATAAGTTTATCGGTCTTCGTTCCTGATTACGATCTTGATTTGACCATGCAAATAATGCAGCACGTGTGCCATTGTTATTCAGGAATGTCGAAAGTGTCTTTACACCTGTTCTATCCAAAGAAGCATCCGCCGAAGATAAGGACGATAGAGGAAATGAGTGTGATGACGACGTCGACTGTACCAAATCCAACTATGAATAGTTCTCTCGAGGAAATGTTGAAAGCGAAAGTTGAGAAATACAGGAAACTAAACAACGAGACGAGAGCAGAATATATACAGTGGGTGAGGAAGAACAAGATCGCTAGAATGATGGTGCACATGCCACTAAAACGCAACATTGCACCTGATCTGAAATTCCTCGATTGTTCAGGCTTAGAGACATTCAGTATGTCTACATTTAGAAAAGAGCACAATATGATATACCCAATAAACGTTGGGAGGAATGTTGCTAGAAATGCTTCGAGGACGAATTACTTTATTGTTTCTGACATAGAAATGGTGCCGAGCGCCGGTTTAGCGCCTAAATTCCTAACAATGGTGAGGAAACTTATGGGCGATAAGAAACGAGACGAAGGCTGCATATTCGCTAAGACCGTCTTTGTAGTTCCCCTGTTCGAGGTGGAGAGAGGGGAGGAGATCCCCCACGACAAAGACACGTGAGTTGCTTGATAAATAGGACGTTTGATGTTTGTAGATGAATTAATAGTCTCCAAGTTTATTGCGAAATACGAGTAATTTGCAAACTTCGAATGTTGTGTACTGAAGTTAGTTTCAGTGCAAACAGATAGATGAAATGTTACGCTGGCTTATCGTTCTACATGATCATATTTGAAGTTTAAATTGGTTTCAAGAGTAGTTTTATCGTATGTTTGTACGGTACTTATTGATCTTAGCTGATTTATGTTAATTTTAGATGACATGTTTGCATCTAGTTTATTCCTAATCTAAATCAACGTACATCATGAAGTTGGTCCTATCTTCATATATCCCTTTGAGTTTACAGAGCATCAAAGGTGCAGTTTGAAAGTAAAAAAAATATAAACATCACTCATACCTCAACGATGGTAATACAGAATTTGGTAAAACTTTTCTTTCTATATTCCAAACACGCTCATTTTTTTTAAAATGTTGTTGAATTTTTATATCCTATCGAAAAAGAGGGAAATATTATTTTCAAACGAAAAATTTAACGTTAAAAAGTAGTTTTTAAAAAGAAGATGATGCACTTTTGATTTCTTGGAACCTCTACTTTCTGCTGGTATATAAAAATACATTTTACAATTACTATGGAAAACTTTCTCGGAAAATGCAAAAAACGTCACGTCGGTCGTCATTGTCATTTATTCACTTATTTGGTTGTTTAATTATAGTAGTGTCAGACGATTATCGAGAATCGTGCGGGACGACTCATTTGCAGTTTCTGAGAAAATTTGTATTGTAATTAATTTTTTTTGTATACCATCAGAAGGTAAAGATTCCAAAGAACCAAAAACGCATCTACATTTTTTTAAAAGCAACTTTTTTAACTTCATATTTTCCGATTGAAAATAAAATTACTTTTTCGATAAGAAGCCAAAATAACGAGTTGAAATAAATATTTTATATAAATGAAAAATTAAGGTGTGTTTGTCATATAAAAAGATGAGTTATCACCCAATTACGTGATTTTTTTGTGGAAGATAATAATAAAAAATCCAAAAGTCAGTTATTTTGAATTTTCGCAGTTGTTTTTTGGTTATGTGCAAAAAATTTAAATACAAAAGTTAGTAGATCATTTAATAACTTACCTAAAATGTTTCTATTTAAATATTTTCGATGACAGTTGTAGTTTTCCTGAAAATCCGTGAGAAACCGTTTTCACCCTTAAAAGGTCATCCCTCCACTCATTCAGACCTCAAATCAACCTTAAATTATATTCCCTCATTATTTTATGCGTTCTAGGAAGAGTGGAAAAATTTCAAAACAAAATGAAACCCATTTCAAAAGGAATTTTGAAATGGGTTTCATTTTGTTTTAAAAAAAATCCACTTTTTACCTTTTTTAGTCTGTCTGGCCTAGTGTGCGCCGTTATTTCTTTTGGTACGCTAATTTATAGCTTTTGTAATGTAATAAGTACACGTCTCTTCATAGTACCGAGTTCGTGATATGATTTATAAATGTGATACTTATAGCAATGAATATGAAAATAGCTTGGCATATTCCGAGAGATCTCCTTTACTGAGGCCGTAAAGGGCTCGCAAGATTTATGATGTTATATATTAATGTCGACTGTCAATTTGGTCCTATTGACGTGTATCAGTATCTTGATCCAAAATAGATTTGTTATATTTATTTCACAAAAATGTGTAGTATTCAAGTGACATTCACCTAGCTAGAGAAGAATATTAGATTATAAGATAGTTTATTATATATGAAAAGGATTTAGAGGTAAGATTAAAAAAAAAATTCATGGGAACCTTTGCAAATTTTGTCTAACCAGACGTGCTGCTAATTGCTTTTGAGCATGTGATGTTAGTGAGATTCTTGCTGAAATATACCATCGAAAACTTATTTTTGACTTTTGACACATACATTATTCTTTGATAGAATATCGTAACTTTAAAACATTATTTTTTATCAGTGTTGTAGCTTAAATTTGGCCTATTGCGCTACCCTACCCTGCCATATTGTGTGCCAAAATAATCATGGTCCATAACTTCAATTATGATGCTCTGAAATCCTGGTAGTTACCAAGGAATGTTGTGATATTTATTTGGATGAGGTCGGATTTATATTTATCTGACGTGTTGTGTCGTGACGGGATGTGATTGTAATGGGTAGTGTTCACATCTATATGCCGCGGAACTAATGGGTTCTGACGATATACAGTTCTTTCGTAGCTCTCGGAGAGTTTACACATTTGCAATGTTTTTCCATGAATCCTCAGGAATCAGATCAGATCTAATGGATTAATCTCTGTATTCTTTGCATCATAAATCACTTTATTTTGTCATACTATTTTCGATCAGGTAGTCCATACTTTCAAATTTTATTTAGAAACCACCGACTAATAAATAACTAAACCGACACGTCACAGCACGATACGTGCACACTTGCCTGATGCGTCGTCTATCGGCCGCTCCCCCGCTTCTCTCACCTCCATATCTATAATGCGATCGGAATCTCTTCTGATGCGACACACAAATATAAATGTCACCATACTAAATGTTTGAAACCGATACCGTTCTGATGCGTCACAACACAACACGACAGACAAACGTAAATCCAGCTTTAGGATCATAAAAACTTATTTCTATTTATTTCCATTGTTCAATAGCGTACAAGTTGTTTTTCGTAAATAGCTTGGAAAGTTTCAATACAATCAGTCGAATGACAATATCTGAAAGTACTTACACGTAATCCGCTATTATAATGTTAGAAGTTTCGGCTTTTTCGTCCAAATAAGTTATTTTCGTTTTTTCATTTCTTTCTTTCGTCTGCGTTCGAGCGCTACTAAATATTACAAAAGTTTATGAAAGTGTCCTTCTATCCACGCACAATTTCCCTTTCTTAGGTACCTAGGTATATTATTTTGTTTCTGTTAAAGTGCTTTTTGAAATTATGAAATTAATGGTAGAAATTAAAAAAAAAACGGCTGTCTGAAAAGTCGGTTTACTGACTATAGTTGAAAGTGAAAACGTTTTTTACAATGTACATAGTTTTTACAAGTATGAATGTGCTTTGAAAAATTGTTTTACAACTTTTAAACATGAGTGATATCATTACCTTTATCGCCGCAATTATCGTTGCTATAAACAATTGACACCACATTCACTTTTCACTGCACTTCATACTTGACGAAAACATGTAAATGTATTATTATATAGCAGCGGCCCACGCGCACGCATCGTTCACTCAAGTAGGAGAGAGACAGATGTCGAACGCTGCCGAATGCGGAGGCCGATTGTGCCTCTTTGTCGCTCGTTGCGCGCTCTCGCTTGCACTTCAAGCCTTAAATGGAAAGCGTCAGAGCAAGGTAAAGCCGCATGGGTCATGTTTTTTCGTGCGTGCAGCCGGCTCCATCGAATTATAAGACGTTGTCACGTCAAAAAGAAATGAATATTGTAAAAGGTTCTGCCATAATGAATATATTGTTAGAGCTCGATGGCGCAGTAGTCAGATCATTAGATTGTAGAAGTTAAGCAACCTTCACGATGACAAGTTATTGGATGGTTGATCAATATTTAATCATCCACCTTGCTTTGGTAAGTGTATTGGCGTCATAGCACACATATTAACTTGGAAAGGATCAATGCCAACAGGTATTTCGCCTGGCCGTCCTACAGGCGTCCTCCTACGAAAAGCGGATAAGTAGCTCCAATACGTTCGATCACCTACGGTTAGCGATGAGAAAAACGGTTTTTTATTCGTTGAAAATGTGGAATGACTTGCCTCCTACTTTGCGGCAAAGTCTTTTAATATCGGAAAGCTGTTTTAAGCAAAGGTGTAAACGGTGGTTCCCTGAACAACGATACAAGGCGGCAAGTACACTATATGATGCTACTTAATTGCTGGTAGTATTTTAAACTATATTATTGTCTCGACATGTTGATGTTGTAATAAGGATAATTATTATATTCAAATATAATAATTGTGAGGTGGTGGCAGAGATACGAGCGACCAGTCAAAACTTGACTGTCACATGCTGAGCCACATACCTTTTTGTTTCAATTAAAATTTACTTTCTTTCTATTTGTGTATTGTACCAATTGTATATTGTAACAAATAAATAATTTATTATTTTTATTATTCAATGTTTAAATGTTGTGCTTTTTAATAAGCTTTTCGTTTGAACGGTTTTTTAGTATGTTGCGTATGTAAAGCGCTTTGGAAAACGTTTAAATACATAAACCTGATGTTAGGTTGTCAACGATAAACGCAATATGTTGAAAGCTTATAAACATTAATTTAAGCAGAATGAAAATTTTACATAATCATCTAAAAGGTCCGAAACAAATAAAGTATTCCTTATCTTTTTATTTCATAATCAATAAACTTGTCGTAATAATTCTCGACAAGATTATCAAGAATTAAATCGAATTTAAAAATAAATATTATTTACACAAGTATCTAGTCACAGTGTTTTTTTATCTATCAAACAGTCGTTTTAAAAAGGTTTGATCATTAAAGTGAATGTAAGCAAAAGAAAATGTAATTTCTTTCGAGTTCAATAAAGTATAAAAAGCATCATTTGCTTCTTGTAATAGAGGATCAAGCTCCTAGTGAGTTTTCTCCACAGCATCCCATTTATTTTTCAATATACTCAGTTGATCTTCCATCTCCCACCTATCAGTTATGGTATCAAGTTGGATTTTCATTATAGCCCGCTCTAAAGCTTTTAAGTTGCCCTCCTGGCGGCTTAATAGTTCCTTAGTTTTTGTATCAGCATCACCATCATGTTCAATAGAAAGTTTCGGTTGTTTATCTTGAGATAGAAACAGACGTTGCAAAATATCAGTTCTAGTTGAACTGTACATTTACCTTGTCTTTTCGTATATGTTGTCCTTGGAGTATTGCAGTTGTTCAATATCTTCTCGGCGAAAACCCTGATGACGAATATGAAAATCATCCCAAAGGCTCTTTTAAAGTGACGAGACGTCTTGTTAAGTACTCCACC